ATTTGGTCCAGTTTATTCTCCTTGACATAGCTTTAGGGTCAGCTTTTACTATGAATAACTGCCTGTGCTCTCTTTCATCCCTTTGATCCCTTTTTTTTCCTAGACAGAATCATCTTAGAAGCTGGATTGTCAATACCTTTTCTGAAATAAATAATATTTATAGGTCTGTGCTTATTTGTATGGTATTTCTCCTTCTGTCTCCTTGAGCCCCTGTCAGCCTTGGTACAAGGCAGCTGACATTGAGCCTGGTATTGCTGGAGTTTTTTTTTTTTTTTTGTTAAAAGGCAGTTTTTACTCTCTTGCTGCTAAATGCTGTGAATAAAACTGAATGTAAATTGAATAAGTACAGACTATTTACCATTTAAAAATATGAAAACCTTTTATCAAATCAGGGGCATAGTGCCCAGTATTATAGGGAACTCAAGGGTGGTGTTCTCAGCTTGCAAATACAAAATCTACTTTCAGCAATCTGAATGTATTTTACCCCTAAAATCACACTGGTGCAGGAAGGTGGTCACTCTTAATATTGAGTAGTCACTGGGACAATATTAACATCAGAATGAAATCAGCCATGAGACCTACAGAAAAGTGAAGATCAAAGTTAGAAAAAGTTTATTACTATATTAAAGTAATAAATCCTAAAATTAGGTTTTATTGTCTTATGAAAGGAAATGTTTAATCTTTGAAAACAAAAATGGCAAATAATTTAATGCTGCATCTAAAAAAAATCATTCTTACTTAATGTGTAATGACCTCAGAACCTTGGACCCAATATTCAAGCACACAAAATCAGGATGGCTTCCAAACAAGTATATTTCTGAAATTTAAGTGAGCGGCTGAACGTCTGTGGGGTGGATCACGGATTCTCTGGTTGATAGTTCAGTCCGATTCCAGGGGGAGAGGAGAAATCTAGAGGGAGATTGTCCGCCGCTTGTGGTCATTACTGCTTCAGAATACCGTGTGGTGAGGAGCTGGCACCAGCTGATGTGAAGAAACAACAGTGTCCATGAGGGATAATCCAAAGCCGAAGTACAGTCCAAACCAGGTTGACAGACCAGGAGATAAGAGAGCCGAAGAGGTAACGAAGGAGAATCCAAGCCGAGGTCTGTAACACAGTCCAAGTTCGTCAACCAGCAGAATCCAGGAAGTCAGTCCAAAAAACAAACTGACAGAGCACACAGGGACAAGGCAAAAACATGACTATCCGGAGGCAGAAAACAAGTAAGAATCAGAATGTCAAAACACTTACCGAAACAGCTCGAATAATCTGGCGCTGATGGAAGGGAAGCAAACAGCATAAGAAACTGCGGGAACCAGGTGAAACAGATTGGCCATAATCAGCCACCCGGCCAATTAGTCAGGTGAGCAGAGGCAGATTAAAAAGCTTACCATCATCACCAGGACCATGACAAAAATGCATACTTCAGCTATTCAGTGGGAAAAGTAAAACAATTTTTATGAACACAATTAAGGATATCGTCCATCTCAGTCATTATGTCCTTGGGCAAAATACTTCTGCTGCATTGCCTACCAATGGTGGTCAGAGGGCCTTCTGTCACCAGGGATGATGTGCCACAAGGAAGTTGTGGCTGCAATTTGTCTTAGCACCATCAGTATGTAAATGAATGAATGGGTGAAAGCAGTTTGAGTTTTCGCCAGGGGGGCTATAAATTCAAAATAGACGTATACAAAAAAAAAAAAACAATAAAACACATAATAAGGTATAACACCAGTATATTTACATGAATGCAAACTACAAAAATATTATGAAAACACTATAAAAACAAAAACTTTTTTTTATGCACAGGTTTGCTTTTTGTACATAAATGATGCCCTTCTGTCCTTGAGAGAAGCAAATTTCTCTATGGTTGAAGTCAGGGATGGTTTTGATTAGGTTCTACTCCATAGCGACCATGGCCAGGGCATTGAGACTTTCCTGTGACATTGTTTTCCTGAGGAAAGTCTCGATCCTCCAGTGTTGAGAAGCACCTCTCAGATTCCACTGTGGTTATGGGACTTGTGATGAGGATCTTCAGCAGAGCCACCTCTGAGAAGGTGTTCTGAAGATTGTTTCCCATGAAGAAACAATCTTCCTGGAAAAAAACAGAGGGCACTATCTCCCTCTGTTATGGAGCCCAAGAACTGACATTGGAGAAATTTGTTCCCACAAAATATTAATTTGTGGCCACAAAACGCTAATTTGTTCCCAAGAAGTACTAATTTGTGGCCACAATATATATATATATATATATATATATATATATATATATATATATATATATATATATATATATATATATATATATATGTGTGTGTGTGTGTGTGTGTGTGTGTGTGTGTGTGTGTGTGTGTGTGTGTGTGTGTGTGTGTATGTATGTATGTATGTCAACAATGGTGGTAGGATTGCTTGAGGATTCAAATGCAGAGATGAATGAAGCAGAGATGAGTTTTGATTGATTTAATTGGACATCCAAAATGCAAAATATACAAAATATAAAGAACCAAAAACCTTTAGGGTAAAACTTACATGGGGAGCCAGATATGAAGAAATAGCAATCAACAACAAGGAACCATCCCTGAGTGACTGCAGAGGTTCAGTAGCAGGACAAAAGATGACCACTAATTAGCTGAATAAAGAGCAGGTGTGAGTGGAACTGACAAGAGGGAATCCAGGGGGAAAGGAAACAACCGCAAGGGGGCAACAGAAAGTAACTAAAGACTGCTTGGATATAATAGAAAATAAACCAAAGAACAAAACAGAACAACTGATAACCGAAAATTAAAAACTCAGTCACAAAACGGGGAGCACAATACCTATGTATGCTATGTATTGCTGAATCATAAAGGTCAATCTTAATAAGAAGACCACCCAAGGTGGAAGAACCAAAGTGCGGACCACATCTAGCACACCCACCGATTAATTATCCGGCCTAACCCATACATATCCACCTTAGCTTATTTTGAATCAGAATTGAATAATTTCTTTTTAAAAGGAATGGAATGCTCTAACATGCACCATTTGTGCTCCGATTCTTTCCTTTAAATGATGTACAGCTCTAGCTATAATGAACTGACATAATAAAGGATCAAACTAATTACACAGTGGTATGATAAAAACAGCGAGAGACATCAATTTAATGCTGTGCAGTCCTCTGAGACTGAGCAAAACTCATTATCATTTGGATGTGTAATCGAAAATCAGATTAGGGAAACAAATGAACTTTGGAGATACACAGCAATGAACACTGATAATGAAAGTAAGGGCTTTTTATATCAACACTAAGTAGGTTTAGGGGAGCCCAGAAGACAAGTTAATAAAGTTGCATAATTAACTTTCACAATATCTCATGTTTGTTTTGTGCACTCTTGGCATATGAGACATTTTAAATATTTTTTGTGATGTCTGAAAAAAAAAACAATGAAAAGTAAAGGTTATTTTGATATAAATATCAAATATGTCTTCACAAGCCCCTTTAATATCGAAAGCCCTTGGATTTGTTTTACAAGTTTAATAGCAATCCTGGGGAAATTAATTTACTTATAGGTCCCATGTTCTGAAAGCCCTGGGACATTTATTCAGCAGTGGAAAAAAAACACACATACTAGATGCTCAGACAAGCTAAATGAGGTAATAAGAGAACAACTGGTTTTACAATTTACCCTCTGTGTCGATATGGGATAAATATGTAGGGATGTCTTTCCCTGGTGGCAAAGGGACCACAGACTTCGAACCCAAAGGTTCAGGTTAAGTAAAAGCTATTTCAAAGAGCCAGGTAGCTCAGAAAAGGCCTTCTATACTTATCTCTTTGTGTTTTTAAGGAGATTCCTGGAACCAGAGACTAAATAATACAACTCCTTTCATGGAGCCTCACAGGAAACACAGCAAGCGTGTCAGGTTGGGTGGAGGCTTGAGGGACCCAAATGCAGAGACGGAACGTGAGGCAGTTTCTTCCAAGTTTAATAAGAAAAGGTGGTAACTGAAGGAAAGGCCAAAAATATACCAAAATACAAAAAACGTCAGGAAAAACTCACATGAAGGACAAAGAGATGACGACGAGGAACCAGCAAACAATGACTAAACAGGAGAAATATATATATGGGAGACAGAAACAAAGACCAGGCTATCAAATTGGGAGCAGGTGTAGACAGAGGAGTCTAGAAAGGAGCAAGGGAAAAGGACGCTGCGTTCGAATTTATGGTCTGCGTCTTCCAAGGACGCGGTCTACCTGGACTGGATCCTTCAAAGTCCATTAAAATAAGGAGACCGAAAGGGTTTTGGCTGTTAATTCAACCAGGTCAACCTTTCAGCGGCCTTCTCTACTGTACGCAATGTGCCTAGCAACCAGGATAGTTAACACAAAAAGCAGGAAAAGAATGAGTTCTGAACTTTTAAAAACTGTTTCTTATTCATTTATTTCCATTTTTTATTGTAAAGTGAACAAAGACTACAATCATGAGAAAGAGTGGAATAAAGGGGACAAGCATGTACAAAAGATAGTAAATGTGTTGATATAAACCTTAATCAGTTAAAAAACATGCTGTTGTCATTTTGCACATCTCTGATGTTGCTACATTTTTCAAATATCCATTACTGTAATAATGTCCACATCTGTATATTGGTTATGTATTCTCCAGGTACACAATTTTATGAACTCACTTTATGACTGGTAAAACATCCATCCATCCATTTTCTCCCGAGTGGGGTTGCATTGGGCAAGAGGCAAGGTACAACCTGGACAGGTTGCCAGTCTATCAATGGACAACACAGACACAAACAGGACCAACAACCATTGACACGCACACTCACACCTAAGGGGACTGTAGAAAAGCAAATTAACCTAACAGTCTTTTTGAACCTAAGCTGGGGAACAATAGTCTGCTTGGGGGGGGGAGAAAGAGAGACTCTAGGGTTGCAGGTTCGATTGAAAAGCACACACCTAGGTTGGATGCTTACAACTCTGTCACAACATGTATTCAACACCAAAAACTGTTTCTGCCAGGTTTCGAAACTGGGACCTTTTGCGTGTGAGGCAAACGTGATGACCACTACACTACAGAAACCCCCCTTTTCTATTCTACAATGGATGGAAAGACAAGTATGGGTAAGGATTAATGAAAAATTCAGACAAGGAATACCAATGTGGAGTTTCTGCACATTGCACTGGACCTGACTAAGCCCATTTGAATGTGTAGAGGATTGACTGGTACTGTTGTAAGCTAGCCAGTTATCTGTTGGTGAAAATAAAACACATATCCCACAATTGGGACGATACATATTTTCTCTATTGTATCCAGCCTCTAGTGTGTGGATTTCTTTACATGGGTTAGTTACGGTTGATTCAAGACAAAGTTATTGTCAATTATTTGCATGTTTGCCATTTCACCACATACTACACTGAAATACTAAATGGCCTAAAACATGAAAAATCTATTTTGGTTGACATGTTTTTTCAAGAGTCAGTTTTGCTGACCGTGATGGCTGGTGGCTAATGGCAAAAATAAAAAGGTTTGAAAAAATGCTGGTTTTTGAGCACACACCTAGGGTGGATGCTTACAACAGGTATTCAACACCAAGGCTGTTTCTGCCAGGTTTCGAAACTGGGACCTTTTGCGTGTGAGGCAAACGTGATGACCACTACACTACAGAAACCCCCCTTTTCTATTCTACAATGGATGGAAAGACAAGTATGGGTAAGGATTAATGAAAAATTCAGACAAGGAATACCAATGTGGAGTTTCTGCACATTGCACTGGACCTGACTAAGCCCATTTGAATGTGTAGAGGATTGACTGGTACTGTTGTAAGCTAGCCAGTTATCTGTTGGTGAAAATAAAACACATATCCCACAATTGGGAGAATACATATTTTCTCTATTGTATCCAGCCTCTAGTGTGTGGATTTCTTTACATGGGTTAGTTACGGTTGATTCAAGACAAAGTTATTGTCAATTATTTGCATGTTTGCCATTTCACCACATACTACACTGAAATACTAAATGGCCTAAAACATGAAAATCTATTTTGGTTGACATGTTTTTTTCAAGAGTCAGTTTTGCTGACCGTGATGGCTGGTGGCTAATGGCAAAAATAAAAAGGTTTGAAAAAATTGTGGTTTTTGAGCACACACCTAGGGTGGATGCTTACAACTCTGTCACAACAGGTATTCAACACCAAGGCTGTTTCTGCCAGGTTTCGAAACTGGGACCTTTTGCGTGTGAGGCAAACGTGATGACCACTACACTACAGAAACCCCCCTTTTCTATTCTACAATGGATGGAAAGACAAGTATGGGTAAGGATTAATGAAAAATTCAGACAAGGAATACCAATGTGGAGTTTCTGCACATTGCACTGGACCTGACTAAGCCCATTTGAATGTGTAGAGGATTGACTGGTACTGTTGTAAGCTAGCCAGTTATCTGTTGGTGAAAATAAAACACATATCCCACAATTGGGAGAATACATATTTTCTCTATTGTATCCAGCCTCTAGTGTGTGGATTTCTTTACATGGGTTAGTTACGGTTGATTCAAGACAAAGTTATTGTCAATTATTTGCATGTTTGCCATTTCACCACATACTACACTGAAATACTAAATGGCCTAAAACATGAAAATCTATTTTGGTTGACATGTTTTTTTCAAGAGTCAGTTTTGCTGACCGTGATGGCTGGTGGCTAATGGTAAAAATAAAAAGGTTTGAAAAAATTGTGGTTTTTGAGCACACACCTAGGGTGGATGCTTACAACAGGTATTCAACACCAAGGCTGTTTCTGCCAGGTTTCGAACCTGGGACCTTTTGCGTGTGAGGCAAACGTGATGACCACTACACTACAGAAACCCCCCTTTTCTATTCTACAATGGATGGAAAGACAAGTATGGGTAAGGATTAATGAAAAATTCAGACAAGGAATACCAATGTGGAGTTTCTGCACATTGCACTGGACCTGACTAAGCCCATTTGAATGTGTAGAGGATTGACTGGTACTGTTGTAAGCTAGCCAGTTATCTGTTGGTGAAAATAAAACACATATCCCACAATTGGGAGAATACATATTTTCTCTATTGTATCCAGCCTCTAGTGTGTGGATTTCTTTACATGGGTTAGTTACGGTTGATTCAAGACAAAGTTATTGTCAATTATTTGCATGTTTGCCATTTCACCACATACTACACTGAAATACTAAATGGCCTAAAACATGAAAAATCTATTTTGGTTGACATGTTTTTTTCAAGAGTCAGTTTTGCTGACCGTGATGGCTGGTGGCTAATGGCAAAAATAAAAAGGTTTGAAAAAATGCTGGTTTTTGAGCACACACCTAGGGTGGATGCTTACAACTCTGTCACAACAGGTATTCAACACCAAGGCTGTTTCTGCCAGGTTTCGAAACTGGGACCTTTTGCGTGTGAGGCAAACGTGATGACCACTACACTACAGAAACCCCCCTTTTCTATTCTACAATGGATGGAAAGACAAGTATGGGTAAGGATTAATGAAAAATTCAGACAAGGAATACCAATGTGGAGTTTCTGCACATTGCACTGGACCTGACTAAGCCCATTTGAATGTGTAGAGGATTGACTGGTACTGTTGTAAGCTAGCCAGTTATCTGTTGGTGAAAATAAAACACATATCCCACAATTGGGACGATACATATTTTCTCTATTGTATCCAGCCTCTAGTGTGTGGATTTCTTTACATGGGTTAGTTACGGTTGATTCAAGACAAAGTTATTGTCAATTATTTGCATGTTTGCCATTTCACCACATACTACACTGAAATACTAAATGGCCTAAAACATGAAAATCTATTTTGGTTGACATGTTTTTTCAAGAGTCAGTTTTGCTGACCGTGATGGCTGGTGGCTAATGGCAAAAATAAAAAGGTTTGAAAAAATTGTGGTTTTTGAGCACACACCTAGGGTGGATGCTTACAACAGGTATTCAACACCAAGGCTGTTTCTGCCAGGTTTCGAAACTGGGACCTTTTGCGTGTTAGGCAAACGTGATGACCACTACACTACAGAAACCCCCCTTTTCTATTCTACAATGGATGGAAAGACAAGTATGGGTAAGGATTAATGAAAAATTCAGACAAGGAATACCAATGTGGAGTTTCTGCACATTGCACTGGACCTGACTAAGCCCATTTGAATGTGTAGAGGATTGACTGGTACTGTTGTAAGCTAGCCAGTTATCTGTTGGTGAAAATAAAACACATATCCCACAATTGGGACGATACATATTTTCTCTATTGTATCCAGCCTCTAGTGTGTGGATTTCTTTACATGGGTTAGTTACGGTTGATTCAAGACAAAGTTATTGTCAATTATTTGCATGTTTGCCATTTCACCACATACTACACTGAAATACTAAATGGCCTAAAACATGAAAAATCTATTTTGGTTGACATGTTTTTTTCAAGAGTCAGTTTTGCTGACCGTGATGGCTGGTGGCTAATGGCAAAAATAAAAAGGTTTGAAAAAATGCTGGTTTTTGAGCACACACCTAGGGTGGATGCTTACAACAGGTATTCAACACCAAGGCTGTTTCTGCCAGGTTTCGAAACTGGGACCTTTTGCGTGTGAGGCAAACGTGATGACCACTACACTACAGAAACCCCCCTTTTCTATTCTACAATGGATGGAAAGACAAGTATGGGTAAGGATTAATGAAAAATTCAGACAAGGAATACCAATGTGGAGTTTCTGCACATTGCACTGGACCTGACTAAGCCCATTTGAATGTGTAGAGGATTGACTGGTACTGTTGTAAGCTAGCCAGTTATCTGTTGGTGAAAATAAAACACATATCCCACAATTGGGAGAATACATATTTTCTCTATTGTATCCAGCCTCTAGTGTGTGGATTTCTTTACATGGGTTAGTTACGGTTGATTCAAGACAAAGTTATTGTCAATTATTTGCATGTTTGCCATTTCACCACATACTACACTGAAATACTAAATGGCCTAAAACATGAAAATCTATTTTGGTTGACATGTTTTTTTCAAGAGTCAGTTTTGCTGACCGTGATGGCTGGTGGCTAATGGCAAAAATAAAAAGGTTTGAAAAAATTGTGGTTTTTGAGCACACACCTAGGGTGGATGCTTACAACAGGTATTCAACACCAAGGCTGTTTCTGCCAGGTTTCGAACCTGGGACCTTTTGCGTGTTAGGCAAACGTGATGACCACTACACTACAGAAACCCCCCTTTTCTATTCTACAATGGATGGAAAGACAAGTATGGGTAAGGATTAATGAAAAATTCAGACAAGGAATACCAATGTGGAGTTTCTGCACATTGCACTGGACCTGACTAAGCCCATTTGAATGTGTAGAGCAGGGCCGGTTCTAGCCCTTTGGTTGCCCTAGGCGAGATTGAGTTTTGCACCCCCCCCTCGTGCGGTGAATTGTGCCTACAGTTGTGCAAAGTGTGTGTTACATAATTGCAAATTGAGTGCAAAGCAGTGTTTGTTCTTTTAGTTTTGTGAACTCAGTGAGTGGATTTGCTATAAGTATTAATAGTTTTAGAAATTGTGCTATAAGTATCAAGGTTGTGTTTAAGCATTCAGAAAAAACTGTAACTTAGCATGGAGTGATGTATAGACAAATACCAGAATAGGTTTCAGTACCTTTTCTTTTTTATTATTTTAAATAATTTATTACACACTCAAAGTTAGGACTGTGCAAAAACACTTTCAACCATCTGTAAGGACACTTAGGTAAAGTATAGCTAAAAAACTGGATTGAATCATTGAATGAATTTATTTCAGACAATTAACAAATTTAACACACATTAAACAAATATTAAATGAATAAATTTCAGAAATTACCAAAAAACAATAAAAAATAATAAATTTAAGAAATTCTTCAACCAAGGACTACATAAAAAAGTAATTGATAAACATTAAATTAAATTTTCTGTTCCAGTTCAATTAAATCATTTGAACATAAATAGAAATGAGATTTAAACAAAATTTTCCTCTAAATAAAATATATCAGGTATATTTACCCTGATTTCGGACATTGATTAGTGATTAAAGAAAGGATTAACCCTCTACAAACAAAAGTGCTTTTATGAATACATTACAAAATTAAAAGTTTGAAGTTGTTGTTTTTTTTTGTTCACATATTCTATGATGAACAGCCATAACTTCATATATTTTGATGATTATTGTACATCCCTTTTGAATACTCAATGCAGATAATCACTACAAAATATTTTATTTATATTAGTATCTTCTACCCATTCTCAAGCTAATAATATAGCACATAATTCTGCTGCATATATACTGAGAAAAAAAAATGATGTCAACATTAGGGATGGGGATCGTTAATATTTATTGATATCGATACCTTTATCAATACTCCTTATCGATCCGAGTCTTTATCGATACCACTATCGATACTTTTTTGTTATTTGGTGGAAAGACGATGCAACAAAATGTTTTTAACAGAACTGGTATTGCTTCTATTGCTTAACAGGTGAGCATAACAAAAACGTTTCTAGCCTTCAATAAACATGGCTAATGTAATAGGCCACTTGGAAATGACATAAAACTAACTAGAATATATTTTCACAATTGTTGGTTAATGTATTGTCTACTGTCACTTTTCATCATGTTTTTAGTGATTAGGAAAATATTTAACAAATAAATAATTGTATTTTAAATTAAATGTAATTTTTAATCAATGTTGGCATCAGTAGTTTAATTATATATAGAGGAATATACAACTGTATTACTCATATTTCTCGCCAAAAACAAAATTTCCCGTTTTCTTTACGTTACACTTGAACGCATCATGATAACCTAATTGTCGTTTTACTGAGCCAATCTGAACACATCATCACCCAGCACGTCTGAAACTTTATTTACTTTTCAAGCTAACTAGCTTGTATGCTTCCGATTACAACACGGATTTCACAATTACTATTTTTAACTGACCGGACAAGCTACAAAGTCTGTGTGCGCTTACCAGCGGTACTCTGAGTGGATGATTAAGATGGGCCCGACTGCGGCGGCAGGAGGAGGAGGAAAAGTTAAGTGCCAGACTTCACTTGTTTTACTTTTAATATCTGTTTGCTTACAATTTCATTCCAAAATATTGGTGTACATGCTGCAGTGATTGACGTCACGACTTCCGGGTTGGAGGGCGCTTGAAAAGTGATTAGACTCTTTTCCGATTTTCTCTTAAATGTGAAAAAATAAATAAAAAAACGGTGGTATATTTATTTGTTCATATTTTACTATTTATATATACGTAAGGTTAAGTCAAACTGACGGACGCTTCATAACCGGTTTAATTCGCTTTTTTTTCTAATTCTATGATTAATGGGAAGTAAGCCTAAGGGCGACGCTAGAGGGCGCCCCCAACACATTTGTCGCCCTAGGCAATTGCCTAGCTCGCCTATAGCAATCGCCGGCCCTGGTGTAGAGGATTGACTGGTACTGTTGTAAGCTAGCCAGTTATCTGTTGGTGAAAATAAAACACATATCCCACAATTGGGAGAATACATATTTTCTCTATTGTATCCAGCCTCTAGTGTGTGGATTTCTTTACATGGGTTAGTTACGGTTGATTCAAGACAAAGTTATTGTCAATTATTTGCATGTTTGCCATTTCACCACATACTACACTGAAATACTAAATGGCCTAAAACATGAAAATCTATTTTGGTTGACATGTTTTTTTCAAGAGTCAGTTTTGCTGACCGTGATGGCTGGTGGCTAATGGCAAAAATAAAAAGGGTTTGAAAAAATGCTGGTTTTTGAGCACACACCTAGGTTGGATGCTTACAACTCTGTCACAACAGGTATTCAACACCAAAAACTGTTTCTGCCAGGTTTCGAAACTGGGACCTTTTGCGTGTGAGGCAAACGTGATGACCACTACACTACAGAAACCCCCCTTTTCTATCCTCCAATGGATGGAAAGACAAGTATGGGTAAGGATTAATGAAAAATTCAGACAAGGAATACCAATGTGGAGTTTCTGCACATTGCACTGGACCTGACTAAGCCCATTTGAATGTGTAGAGGATTGACTGGTACTGTTGTAAGCTAGCCAGTTATCTGTTGGTGAAAATAAAACACATATCCCACAATTGGGACGATACATATTTTCTCTATTGTATCCAGCCTCTAGTGTGTGGATTTCTTTACATGGGTTAGTTACGGTTGATTCAAGACAAAGTTATTGTCAATTATTTGCATGTTTGCCATTTCACCACATACTACACTGAAATACTAAAAGGCCTAAAACATGAAACATGAAAATCTATTTTGGTTGACATGTTTTTTCAAGAGTCAGTTTTGCTGACCGTGATGGCTGGTGGCTAATGGTAAAAATAAAAAGGTTTGAAAAAATTGTTGTTTTTGAGCACACACCTAGGGTGGATGCTTACAACAGGTATTCAACAACAAGGCTGTTTCTGCCAGGTTTCGAAACTGGGACCTTTTGCGTGTTAGGCAAACGTGATGACCACTACACTACAGAAACCCCCCTTTTCTATCCTCCAATGGATGGAAAGACAAGTATGGGTAAGGATT